CCCCCCCGTGTTTTTTTTCCAGCCTCCCCTTCCCCCCTTCATTCCTCCTAAGTTGTCGTGTTGACAGGGACCCGGCGGTGGGCTTCTGCCTAAATGATACAAGTTCGCTCGCGCCCTGTGTTTCAATCTGGAGCATCTTTCATTCGTTGATGTAATCGTCTACGAATGTTCAGGTCTCTAATTTGTAGCATTTTTTTTTTATCAAACTCGTAGGATAAATTCACCGAATACAATGTCTTGGATTGTGTTCTTAGCCTTCTATCTCTGATCAACTCTATTCAGCTCGAAAGGCTGAAACAGCAGCTTAAAACAAGAACTGGAAGAATGGGACAAACAGACATTTTGGTAATTGAAGCAGAAGATTTCAGTGCCAACGAGATTGTGCAGCCAGTTGAGGAAAACGCAGTTAGTCATGTGGTTAATTCTCCAGGAGGAAACTTCTCCAGTGTACCAGAAGAAGGTTAGTTTTCGGAGTGTTTAAAGGTATTACTTACTATAAAAACTGACTCCCTTACATGCTTACTGCCGTAAACCACCTGCCCCCCCCCCCATTCTCCCTCCCCCATTTCACCTGTTGAAGTCCCCTCTACCCGTGGGAAAAAGAAAAAAACACATCGATTATGAGCAGCCCCCCTCCCCCTCCAGAATAAAGCGTCCCTTGTGTTGAGAGATTGTTACCCTGTTGCGAATTTAACATTTGAATTTTAATAATAGGAGAGGAAGGATGATCTTCAAAAAAGAATTTCAAAGCGCTTTTTCTATTCTGATTATATGCTTCCTCAGGTATACCCTACCCCCTCCTTCCCCCACCCTTTGTAAGCCATCCTAAACCCTAAGGGGGAGTTTACGGTATTATTGAGGTTTCTTTACTTGCTTCCTTTCGTTTGCAGTGAAACTAACAGCAAGTGGCTTAAGAACTCCGGTTCACGGCCCCACTACAGACGAACCAGCCTCTGTAAAAAGCGGTTCCCCGTTTTATAGCACGTTTGAGAAAAAATCCAACACGAAGCCTCTCCTGACAGAAAGCGTGACAGGAGAAGCGATAATTCAAGATGACTTAGATGAAGCGTTTTCCACTCTTACCGGCCTAAGTGTGATAACGCTTTACAACTGCATCGACTTGATTTCAAGTCTGGAGGAGTTTCGTAGGCGCCTCTCTAAGGCTGAAACTATGCGGATTTTATGGTGTCGACTTTTGACTGCCTCGTGTGGTTCATCGACCATTCAACAGATTGAACTCGCCACTGAAATGTTACTGAATTCGTGCTGCTGCATGACGATGTTGGGAAAGTATACCACAGGTATGAATGTATGGAAGACCTACACCGCGGTCAAACTTCCAAGAACGTAACAACTATAAGACTTGCTTTCGGGCAGTCATAGCAAATTTTGCTTACAGGAGTTACAAACAACCTCTTATAATGAATAAAGCAGTTCACTACTGAATGTTCATTCAAAAGGATACCCGTACTAGATAGAATACGCTTCGTGTTCGGAAAGTCTCGAGTTTGCCAGTCGGTTCTCATTATTCCTGTCCTTGGACCTACTGTTGTTGTTGTTTATTTGTTTGTTTCTTTGTTTGTTTCTTTGTTTTTTTTTGTCGTGCAGAACTTGTGGTAGAGCTTGACGAGCAGACGAAGACTCCGGCTCTTGTACTGAGCGCGGATCGTCTGGAGGCATCAAATCCAAACTGGACTTTTGAAAGCGTGCATTCCACCTTGTGTGTGGGACGTGGGATGTCTACAGTGCCACCTTATCCGGCTGGCTGGTACTATGAAGTCACCCTGAAGTGTACAGGAATACTGCAAATAGGTACGTATTTTCGTATCGTTCTTCCTCGCCTCTCGAACATTTTTATTTTTGTTTTATTTTGTTTTGTTTTTGTTTTTGTTTGTTTTGTTTTGTTTTGTTTCTGTCTTCATTGTCGTTTCTGGTTTTTGTTTTGTTTTGTTTTTGTTTTCCTTTGTTTTGTTTTGTTTTCGTTTTGTTTTTTTGTTTTGTTTTTTGCAGTGGAGAAATCTTTACTTGCTTAATTTAATTGATGATTTATTTTCAAAAAAAAAATATTCTCCCTCTTAAGGCTGGCAAACCGAAGAATGCCGATACGGTCCCGAGCGAGGCGTTGGGGTTGGTGACGACAAGAACTCGTGTGCTTTCGATGGTGCGCGGTGTAAAGTATGGAGTGGACCCCCTAGTGAACAACTGAACAATGACTATGGAAAGGAATGGAGTTACGGGGATGTCTTGAGCTGTTTGTTCTCTTGGAATGGAGAGGTGTCCTTTTGGTTGAACGGGGTAGATATGGGTGTGGCATTTAGGGGGTTAAACCCTGGGGTTAATTGGTATCCTGCGGCATCCATCGCCATGGACCAGCAGTGCTGCTTCAACTTTGGTGGCAAACCCTTCAGGTGTGACTTTCAATACAGAAAAATTTGTTGATACAGTAAAACAAATGAATAAAGGGGGCAAGTTTCTAAAGAAACTGTGGTGCTATGAAGGGAGCGACTAGCATCTAATTTTTCTTTTCAATAACACCCCTGAATCACGCATTAAGGTCTCAAGAATAAAGGAAATGATCACTAATTAAAAAATCAAAACAAAACAAAAACAAAAAGCTTTTGAAAAAATTATCCTTGTCAGATCCTTAGGAAATGTATAGAGAATGATATGGACAGTATGCATACTGATTTTAAGGCGTAAAGGGCTGAGAGACCTTTATCATGTAGCATTCATATGGATTCGCCGGGCATACGAAGGGGATAAGACTGTTTTACGAAAAGTCTTCGGATCTACTTGGATATAGCTAACCATCTTGCCTTGCAGCGGATGTGACAGCTATCTTTTGTTCTATTACAGGTATGAAATGCCTGATGGATACATAGCTGTAAGTCACGTGGTCTCTAACCTGGTCAAGAAAGCTTCACTGCGCCTATCGTCGTGTTGGACACCAATCAGCGGTAGCTTTGAAAGCATTGTGGAGGAAGATGAGGAAGTGATTGATGATCAAGAACTTGAGGCCTCAGAAACTAAGACTGACGATACAGGTATGCTCATATGAGCTTTGTGATGCACCAACAATTGTATTTACTGCGCAGGGATAAATGAGGTATTTCGTATTCTTTCCTAGTAGTATGCAGAACGTTTGTCACCCTGGTCCTTGTTTAACGGCCTAGCTCCTTGCTATAGCTCAATTGTACATCATCTGACTACTATATCGGAAGGTCATGGGTCCAACTTCTATTGAGTACACCCGGAGTTTTTATTTTTTCCGAGTATGGCTGTGTCATTCACCAAATAATATCATCTTTCGCTTGCAAAACGTGTTCTTCTAATATAGTAGGCAAACCTCAGGGTTTTTTTCTTTCTGTCGCAGTTGCTATAAAAAGATCAATTCAAAGAAAGTAGTTATTGTTGTAATAACAAGAAAAATGCGATCACTTTTTTAAACCGTTGATAAGTGTTGATTAACAAGAAGCGTTAGAAAATGAATTTTTTGGGAAGACAATGAGCAGAAAACGTTGAATAGGTTGTCATTTTATAATTGAAAGATTTTCATACACTTAAATAAAGATAAACTAATAAATACGCCTACCATAAATCTTCAAATGTGCGAGACTTTTTTGAGACAACCTATACTTAAAAAGGAAGATGTTTTGCGCACCAAAGACTAGTTTGAATAATTAGACTATTATGGGATAAGTGAGTGATGAAGTTATGATAAGAAAAAAATGGAGAGGGAGGGAGGAGATGGTAAGAAGGAAAGAGAAAGGGAGATTGATAGGAGGGGAGGGAGGGGAGACAGAAGAAAGGGAAATCGATCGGAAAGAAAGAGAAAGACAATTTTGGAGAAAGCCGGTACATGAGGAAAGCTGAGATAGACAGTTGTGAAAGGTTTTATGATTTTATTTTTTCATTTTGTTCTCAGCTCCTTGTGATAAGGAGCCTTCTAGTGTTGCCATGAAGGAGGAACAGCCATCCGTTCTTTCTCTGGAACACAGCGTGGCTGATTCAGACGTGTTGTTTGACTACCAAGACACTTCCTCTGTGAGCGAATGTTCTCTCGCCTTATCTCCTGAACCCACAAATCACTCTTTAACATTTGTTACACCTCCCTCTGGTGTCTTCACCACGCCTCAAAGCTCTCCGCCCAAAGTATCTGGGCATGACGTGTTCTTTCTTGGATCCGAGCCTGAGCCTTCGCCGTTTGAAGTGGTATCGACTGGCGACGAGACAGTGAGTGAAGAAAAGCCTCCATTTGAAGAAAAACACGTGACCAGCACTCCATATTTAGGCGTAGGCCCTTTGAGAGACTCTATTGGAAGGCACTTTGAAGCAAGGTCACGTCTGAGCTCCTGGCCACAAGTGGCAACCCCAGGAGAGTCTTTCATAGGTAAGGAAATGCGTAGTCACGATGGAATTTGTCTTATTCTTTGTCTCTCACACTAGAAGACTGATTATGTAATGAAATCTAATCCTCGGTAGCGAGACGCAATTTTTTTATTGGACTGTTTAGGATATATAATCACTGACTGAATCGCAAAAAAACGAAGATCGTGGACCTTTTCTATAGAATATTTAAACCATGTCGTGTCTTTTTTCCTTCGATTTTTCTTGTTAACATTTTCACTGAGATTTTCTTCTTCCTCAGAGCCAATTGTGCCTTGTCTGTACTTCGAAGCAGAGCTGAAATTTGCTCCATGCCGAGTCAAACAAATGGGTTTCATCAATGTGGAAACAAGGGAGAAAATTTATTGTGACGTACATGACGGCCATCTTCAGTTTCCCAAGTCGTCCAGTCCCACTCCGCACGAACAACAAAGTTTCAGGGTTCCGGATGTTGTGGGCTGTGCAGTAATATTATCGACGGGACAGATCATGTTTACCTTAGATGGAGTAGCAACCGGACAATTTTACGACTTCCCATCAAGTAAACCATCGTCGATGGTCATTGAAAATCTTTTTCCGTACATATCTTGCACTCGAATCCGTTGTAACTATGGGCAACGGTCGTTCCTGTTTGGGGATGCGAATAACAAAGAGTCTCTTGTTATGAGTGGGGCTCTGCTGCATGGACTGGCCGAAGAAAACTTAAGGCTGTAGGCTGACAATATAAGTGTATTTAGAACAACACAGCGGTCAAACGTCTGCGCATGTGCGGCCTTTGGAATGATTCGGCGGCGTGTTTTCAGGCTGTCAAAACCAAGCGGCCTCACGCGAGTTTCAAGCAGCCACATAAGCCCTCGGTCACTGTGTTTTAAAAGCGTATAGCTTTTTCGGTAAAGCTCAAAACAGAATGCTTTGCAAGTCTCGAGTTTTTCCATTGCTCTATTTTAGTTTTTTTTTTTTTACAGATTTCTGTGAACTTTTCCAATTATCCTTTGCTTATTTTGCAAAACTGCGGTTGTTTTCCTTTGAAATTTTGTGCGGGAAATTGGCGCACGGTCGGCCAAAACTGAATCCCTCGCGCATGCCCGACCTTTGACCGCTGTGCTATTTAGAAAAAGGTACAGTTTCAAGTTAAGGCCCAGCAGCTATCTATGAAGTATTCGATTGCTTTTTGAAATGATGCGAAGCAAGTTAAGTATTTTTGCTGGACCTCTTTTACCTTTTAGAATGTCTTTCTCGTGTCGGTTTGTAAATTTGTGAAAAATGTATCATAGTGGTAATCTGACATGCGATTAAAAAAACACCCATGTTTCCCGGATTCCTTGTGTCAGTCATGTGGTAAGAAAAACGAAAAACTAGTGACTGTTGAGACAACGATGGAAGAGGCATTTTCAATGTGAGAGGAAAATTTATAACAGGTATTGCAGATTTTTGCCCGCCGGAATCTTCCACAAATGTCTCATTGTTCTATAAATCCAAAAGTTAGTAGGCAGTTCCCAATGCTAATAGCAAATGCGTTAACTGTGCTCCGTGGTGAAGACTGTTGATCAGGATTTCGTCCAAAGTGTGTCCGGAGGTGGGTCCAAGAATTTTCGCTAAGGGACCAAAATGACTTCTCGATCAAAGCACGCATCCACTTGTATCCCCCCCTTCTTCCCCCTTTCCCTCTCCCCCCCCCCCCTTTTTTCCCCTCTCTGCATTGCTATATAGCACCTCGGCTAGATCCAACTTGGCAGCTCTGCGGTTTCTGAGTGAAAAAATATAAAATATAAATGAGTGAAAAATGAAAAAAACAACAAATGGAAAAGGTTAAATCCTAGAATTTGTTAAAACCCACCTATCAAGGTTATTATTATCATTTATTGTATTCTATTTAGTTATTTATTTTTTGTTGGAAGCCTTTACTTCCTCCTTTGTTGACGGATCACCTCATAATTCCAAAGATTTTGCCCGCCAAAATTTCATGTTGGACCTTGGTAACCCGGCCAGTCATCGAATTCAACATGGCCGACTAATACCTAAATTGTAAAGATTCGAAGGGTAACAAGATCTTTAGAAACATGCTATGGATAAGTTCGTCATTCGAACTAAACGTTCTCCTAGACCTGAGAGGAAAATTACCGAGACAGCGAACAGGAAGAAGCAACCAACGATTGAAAGCCTAGCGGTAAACAATTGAATTATCTGCTTCGTTACTAAGCTTCGATATCCTTATGCTTCTTTAACAATTTTTCTAATGCCGTTTGTGAAAGTAAATTGGTAGTGCACTGCTTAACATTAGAGTCTAAATAAGCCAGGAAATAACAATTAATCTCCCTTTCATACATAACTCTAAATTTACTTCAGATATCAAAGTTAAGGTTGCTTATTGTATTTCCTAGTCACGTATGTATGGGTAATAAGATGATTTATAATGGTTATAGGACCGAGCGGAGTCCAATACGTACACTGTCCTATTAGTCCTCAAATCGAGTCGGCGAGAACCTATCACGATCAAGAATTGTGTTGTAGTTTTGGTTATGTGTGCAATTTGGTGTTAGTAAGTATGAATAAATTTTTCAAAGACAACGAAATTGCACGAACTGGTAAGGCCAGTGCAATTTTTAGTCTTTGAACAATTTTTCAATTGCTTATTACACCAAATTGGAAGAGAAACCATGCTATTAGGTTAGTGTTCGCACACTATTTGTAATTTACACTCATTTTAAAACTTTGCACTCATGTTACATGAGAATTAATGCACTCATTTTCCAGCCAATCATAAGTGCATAAGTTTTTCATGTACATTATTAGCTGAATTACGCATATATTTTGATTGGTTCTGATGATCTATCGGAGGACAGACCCATAGATGAAGTCATCATTAACCCTTTACACCCTAAAATCAGTATACATATTCTCCATACTGTTCATTATACATTTCCTAAGGTGCTGACAAGGAGAATTTGTTTACCAGTCAAAAGGTTCTTTCATTGTTGATCATTTCCTTTATTCTCATGACCTTAACATGTGATTCAGGAGTGATAATGTAGGGAGAAATTTGATGCTGGTCACTCTCAGGGTTAAAGAGTTTATCTTTTTTTTGTTATATTAAACAAATGGATTTTGTGTTGTCATGGGTTTGTACAGTAATAGATCACAGAAGACATCAAAATGTTGATGTCATCTGATCAGACTAACAACAACACTGAATCTTTCTCTTAATTCTTTAAGAGTGTGGTTGTAGTGGAAGAAATCCAGCGTCTCAAGCTTGAATTAGAGAATGAAGTTTCCACACCAGAGACAATTTTGTCAGCACTAAAAGTCTTGGGCAAAAAGAATTTGTCAAAAGAAGTGTTAATGTCCACCAAAGTTGGACACACAGTAAATCGTCTGCGACGGCAGGGAAGTACTGAGGAGATAAGGCAACAAGCAAAGGTTGTATTCAGGAGATGGAGACAGTTTGTAACAGACTTGGAGAAGGAGAAACCCTTGATAGAGGTTCGCTGTGACAAGAAGACTGAAGCATTAAGAGGAAAAGGGAGGCAACTGATTTCTGATGCTCTGCAAATGACAGTATGATTAAAGTTGTTTGTATATTTAGTTTATTACTGTAATGTGACATCTATTTTCAGAGTCACTTAATAAACATGAAAAACCTCTTCAATTAAAGAAAATAAGAGAGGCTCTTGATTGTCAAACAAATTCTCCTTGTCAGCACCTTGGGAAATGCATAGAGAACAGTATGATGAATACGCATATTGATGTTAGTGTGTAAAAAGGGTCAAGACATTCGTGAGTTGTCAGAAAAACCTTTTCAAATTTCAGTAGTTCTTTACAGCCTGGTTGAGAATTTGATTCTTTACTTGATTGATAACTTCCTTTCCTTATATTTCAGCCATCAGAAAATTTAGTTCTCTATAACCTGTTTGAGAATTTGATTCTTCACTTGATCACTGACTCTCCTTTCCTTGTATTTCAGCCATCAGAAAATTTACCAGAACTTATTGAGAGAACTGTGTTCCATACCTATGGTAGACTTATAAATAATACCTACAAGAGGAAGATGCGTTCTTTGGTTTTCATCCTTAAACACAGGGATTCCATCCGAGAGAAGGTTGTCACTGGAGAAATATCAGTTAAGAAGCTTGTTTCATCCTCTGTAGAGCAGCTCACCTAAAAAATTTACAACTTGGTCGTTTATCATGTTGGACAAACAGTATTTATATTTATGTTGAATAAACACACATTTTTTTTAATAATGCAGGACTTGGACAAAGGGAATATATCATAATTTTTTTCCTATATTTTATTATGTTATTAAATACAAATAGTATGAAATATTTAAAGATTAAAAGTGAGACTCAATTTCTGACACAAAATGTCTCCTACAGATGTAGTTGCAGTAAGCAGTTTACTCACAATACAATGCAATGCAATAATTTTGGATGTGTTTAATACAATAAATTGTTTATTATCATGGTCCTTTAAGTGCTAAATTGATTTGGATTTGCATTTTTTGAAGACTGCTTAAGGAAAGTGGTAGAAAGGAGAGCTGGGCCTCAATTTGTTGACCTAAGATTTTAGTCAAGTTGCATGCCTTGCATGTTGGCGATTGGCACAATCGTTCACGTTAGGTACCGTGTGATTATGCAAGATCAGTCTTTTTCTTGTATGGAAATATCAGAGCTAGAGGGAAAGGAAGGGGTGGTCATAATGTAAATGACCCTGACTTTTTTTGGGGCGGAGGGGGGAGATCACATGGTTCTCAGGGAAACGGAGTATGAAAGGGGGGGGGGGGGGACTACAGAGAAATGACAGCCAATGAGAAGGGATCATCAGAATACTATGGAGCCTTATGGGGAATCAGGGAATATTCATCGTGACACAACCAAAATCCTCCCATCCATCCCCAAACAGTGTTCGATTCGTATTGATAGGGTTGCAAAATCGAGAAACAAGACGTTATGTCATTCATTGTAAGCTGGAAATGTTTGTGTAGCTAAGAAATTCGATTCCTAATCCTATACAGCAAATGTAAACTAGCACACAACTCGATTAGATTTTTTATTTCCACACGGATCAGAAAGCACAATGCAAATCATTTGGTAACCAGTAGTCTCCTCTCGGAGACAGCCGAGCAAATGAAAAATGGGTAACTCGCTGTCTCAAAGTCTTGACAATGGGGAGATAAAAGTTCACTTGTATCCCCTTAGTTACTACTTTCTTTCCCCTTAGTTGTCCAGTATTTGTCGTATCCTTTGCCTTCAATCCGCCTTTTTTATCATATCCACTTTTCTTACTTCTTGCGAGGTTGATTCTGTAGAGGCGCTGTTTACGTTGGCTTGCCCGACGTGAGTGACCCCGCTGGCCGAGTGCTACGTAGGACTCTGTACCTCAATAAGAATTGAAAGAGTTAATAATCAGTCCATTATTTTTAACTGTAATTAACAGACGTCTTTCTTGTCTTTAATATTCGAATATTACCGAAGGAAAATCGTTATCGCGCCAAAAAACAGCAACAAAAAGAATCCAATCACTTGCCATATACATGACATCGTGCTTGAAACAAGAACAAGAAATTTAGGGGAATGTAGTATTATAGCCTGAGTTGATAACGTAAATTGGCCACCGTAAAGAGTCTAAAAGCTGACGTTTCGAACGTTAGCCCTCGCTAGAGCGATTGAAGGAATTGTAGGTTTTGTGTGGGTTTCTATACAGAAAATGGAGCTACGCTATTGGTGAGAATGTGGTGACGAGTAAACAAGAATAAATTAGTTAAATAAAAAGCGCTCGTTCATACCCTAAAGATTAAGAGTGCCGATCTAGAAGATAAATTTTTGCTCTGCAGTTTTGCTGCTTTCCAAATTACCGAGTTGTAAGGAAAGGCCGCAAACTGCCATATGCTGCTTAGAATGATTAAGGATATTTAAGTGTCTAGCGAAACAGTTAAGATGAAAATGGCCTTACGACGTAACATCTTACACCTGTCGCCGTTTCGTTCCTAAGTCAAAACAGGTGCAGCACGTAGAGAACAAAAATTCAAACACTGTTATAATAACTTTGCATCTGTATTCTACATTAATTTTGAAATTGGACTTTTTCTCCCAGTTTGCCCAAGCTGATAACAATTCAGTGGCGTCCCAAGGTCACGACCAACTGATGATCGACTTTTGATAACCTATTACTGAAGGATTATTTGAGTGAAGAAGTTTTTTTTTACGTTGTATTGTGAAATTAACCTATCACAAATACAGTCTTACTTTCCCCTCATTATTAATTCAAATTCGCGCAGAAAAACCGGCCTTTTTTCCTCTTTCGTGAGACACACCTCACAGC